GCCAATCCTGAAGTCTCTACAGCTCTCCAGACGATGAAACAAGCCAACATGGATCACATGATGCCTCTTCTTCTGGTTAGGGAACTAGTAGACAGGCCTGACACTCTTACCCTTGTTCATCACAACACAGAGGGACTTCAAGCTCACATTGATGACATTCAGAAACATCATGAGTTGTGTTTGGCAGACGTGTTGTGTTTTACTGAAACTCATCTGAAAGGCTCTTTTGTTGCAGACAGTCTTCATCTGGATGGTTACAACATGTTCAAACGCAACAGACATTCATCCTACACTAACTTTCCTCAGATGGCCAGCAAAGGTGGTGGTGGGGTTGCTGTTTATGTGAGAAACAACTTTCAGGTGCGTGAAAGACAGTATTTGACCAATGTGATTGATCTTGAGTATGTTGCTTTGAAGGTTGAGGCTCCCTTCAGTGCAGTGATTGCAGCTGTGTACAGACCACCTGACTACAGCCTGAAACCATTCCTTCAAAATCTGGTAAGCCTTCTGGATGCACTTGAGATGTTAGACTGTCACCCTTTCATTGTTTGTGGAGATTTTAATGAAAACCAGTTATCCATGTCATCAAAGCCAATTTTGGAGCTGTTTCAGTCTCGAGGATTTGTACAGTTGATTTCTTCCCCCACGACAGAGAAACTCACACAACTTGATTTGATATTCATTTCTCAGCCACAGCAGTGTCTCCATTCAGGTGTCATGAGAACCTACTACAGTTACCACAACCCAGTGTTCTGTGTCCTGTCCGGCAGTGAACCATGAAGAGGTCGTGAGTGTAAACAAACATAAACAATGTAAAGTATGTTAATCAGTTGCATCCTTTTTTCAGACAAAAAAAAGTTTTAAACGGTGTGTTTGATCCCGAGATGTGAACCTTAGAAATCTTATAAGCTAATCTGTTGACATCATGCCAGTGGTTTCAGATAATAATGAAAACTATAAATGGTTTTTAGTGTATATTTACTTTTAGGTTGACAGCTGAGTTCTCTGTTTCAGTTGTTGTTCTACTTACCCAAAAACAGATCATGTCTGCATTTATAATGACTGAATTTTGTTAATCTACTTTGGAAAAATTCACCTCTGCATTTGATCTGTCCCCTTGGGGAGAGCTGGGCAAGGGCAATGCCTTAACACTAGGCTGGCACTCTCCCTTATACGCCCAACCCATTCCCCCACTTATATATAAGTTTAAGAAATCACTTTGTTTTTTATTCAATACTTGGATTAAATTCAGGATCTTGTTTTTTCAAAAACATTTAACCAAACATTGATATGAACAAGATGTTTTTGATTTATACATTTTCGGATTAATTATTTTTTTGGATTGAACTTTGACTTGTACAACTTTTATCAGATAATTTGATTTCATACACATTAAAGCACATCAAGAAAACTATTTAAATACGCGTAGAACAGAAATACATCTTTTTAAACAAGCCTTGGCCTGTGCATTTATCGGGGTGGGTCGGGTCAGGGTTGATAAATGCACAGCCCGCAAGTCTGAGCAGCTTTTGAAAACATTGACCAAAGACAGATATAAACTAGATATTTTGATCTTGTGTCAACAAGCCAAAGAGAACCTACCAAAGCTACCACAACCCAGTGTTCTGTCCAGTGAAACATGAAGAGGCTGGTGAGTCTAAAAAACAATAAAAAAAAAAATCTGATACCTACAAAATTGTTTTTAAAAGGTTTGAATGAACAGTTTGAAGCACAATATTTGAAGTATTCTTTCCAACTGCATTTACCCCAAAACAGATAATGTCTGCATTTAATAATAAAAATAATAATGGAATTTTGTTAATCTCACTTTGGAAAAATTCATCTCTGCATTTGACCTGTCCCGTTTGGGAGAAGTGGGCAAGGGCGATGCCTAAACACTAGGCTGACACTCTCCCTTATACGCCCTACCCACTCCCCCATTTATATATGAATTTAAGAAATCACTTTTTCTTATTCAATACTTGGATTAAATTGAGTATATTGTTTTTTTCAAAACATACATTTAACTTACAGTGGGTCCTGGTTGGAAATGGACACTTCACTCACGCTCTCTGTGTTTCACGAATTGCGTGAAAAACATGTGACTACTATAGCCACTAGGTGGCAGTCTGAGTCCATTTCGGCGTCCCATGAGTCAGGATTAGATAGCTCAAAGAGCAGACTGGGAGGGGTTTTATGTGTTGAGAGCTGATAGCGTAGACCGAAGAGTGAGTGGTCTGCGGTGCAAAAGGTTGAGGGTATGGTCTCAGCTGTGGTCGAGTTTATTATTGTTGCCTCAAATGTTTTTCTATTTTTTTTAATCACTTGATGGCCTATGATATCAAAAATTGTACAATAACTTATTCAACTTATTTATATATTTTACGGATACTAGCCTATTATGCTGTTTGACTTTATGGCGTCTTTCTTTTATTTAGATCAGCTGATGTGCGTTCCACGTTTCCAAGGAATTACATTAGAACATAGGGATTATCATTCTACAGCCTCAATATCTTACTCTGATAATAATAGGCATATTGTTATACTATTTTTGTTATTTTTATTATTATTATCATTATTATTATTATTATCTAGCTGGTAAAATTTTCAGTTTGATCTGGAAAAGGACACTATGATGCCTGATACAACAAGCATGAAAGGCCCAACCCCCTGGCTTTTTGGGCACATTATGCAAGAATGTTGCTTGTTTCTAAGCTGTTGTCAGGGATGGCTGTGATCGACCCAAAAGTCAGTGAGCTAATCCGGAGTATTCCTATTTTAAATACAGTGAACCCTCGTTTATCGCCTGGGTTACGTTCCAAAAAGAACCCGGGATAGTTGAAATCCGTGAAGTAGAAACCTTTATTTTTTTTACAGTTATCATACAATGAAATACTCCATACAACATTGAAATCAAGGAACAAAAAGTTTTTACAGCTTAAGCATTTGTTTAACAAATAAAAGTACGGTATAAACGTTGTTAACTACTGTACTGTACTGTAAAATAATATAGTTATAAATAAATAAGTAATAATTTTAATCATCAATACAAAATCAAGGGTTAATATTGCGGGGATCCGCACCTCACCGCCCCGCCGTGATGGATTGGAACGGGAGAAAATGAAAAATGATTATGAAAAAAAATACAAAGTACAGTAGGACAAATAGTGACTGACGTGTACAGTACAGTACAGTATTTCACTGCTGTTCTGACGGAGCTGCTGCATCCTGATAGCTCTGTGGCGTTTTTTTCTTCTAAAGCCTGCGGTGCATGTGTGTGTTTTTGAGAGAAGGACAAAGGTATCCTTATAAACCGACATGCCACCATTGATTATGTTTGACAATAAAGTTTAACAATGCATGATGCAAATCCGTGAAGCAGCGAGACCGTGAAAAGTGAACCGTGTTTTAG